TTATAAACTTCGAAATTTATGACATAATTTTTAAATTAACAATAATGTTTTAAAAATTATATAAAAAAATGCACTAATGCATTAATGCAATAATGATTTTCTGAAGTATGTATGAAATACATATTTTATATAAATATAAATATTTTTTATATGATTACATTTATATTTTATATTTGCAAATAGGTAACTATTTCCTTATATATAAGTATAATATATTATTATAAAGATTTTAAGCCTCAGTCAAGGTCATACGGTATAACGCTCATTCGTTGCTATTGTTTCATATATCTTTTGAAATTATGCGCTATAATCTAAGCATTTTATATTTATTTTTACTATTGTTACTCATCGTATTTATGTCACAAATATTATTAACATACAAAAGACTTAATATAGTATTTGTTAAAAACTAAACTACTGATTTATATAGTATTTTTAAAAACTGTAAATATATAAATATATAAATAATAAAAATAAATATAAATAACTTTTGTAGTACAAGATTTAAAGTGTATTTATTTATGCACAATATGCATAGTTTTGGAATTGAGTGATTATTTTTTCATTTAATGCTTTAATTTACAATATAATATAAATTACAATTTATATTTAATACATATAAATATATTTATGATAATAAAAAATATTACAGTTTAAATTTCTTAGTATAAATTCGTTTTATTAGTAATTTTTCCTTGTTTTTTAAATATATACTATTATTTATAAACAGTTTTATGTATTGTTTTACAATAAAAATAATTTAATCCGAAAATCTTGATTTTATTGAAAACATATACATATAGGTATACTATATGTATATATATAGAACATTATAAATGATATATATAACAATTTCTTTTTCAAAGGAAAATCTTTCAATTTTCAAATTTTCTTTATTTTTTAATTTTTTTAATATAATTTCATCTAATATAATAATTTTTTACAAAGATTAATAGGACAATAAAACTTTAACAATAGTAATAAGATATTAAAATATGAATATTTTATAAAAACTTTTTTTTATTTTGTATTTATAACTTATTATAAATTTATATTAAAAAAAAAAACAAAAAAATATTTAATGATTTAACTTAATGATTTTATCTTCTTCTAAAATGATATTTTGTCAATAAAAGATTGCTCTATACACACTATATTTTTACATATTTAATGTTATATATAAAACAAAATTATTACTGATTTTTAATTTTAATTTATTATATAATTTGAATTACAAATAGTTATCTAAATTTGTATAAAATACAATATTTCTGTTTTATCTATTAATATATGTTTATTTATTAATTATTTCCATAAATATTAGAAAAAAATGTTTGAAACTTGAATGCAAATATAAGATGTATAGTCGAAATTAATATCGAGAAACGTATAATAACTTACATAGTGATCTTGTTATTTGACTTTGAAATAATCTATGATTCTATGAAAATCAGAATTATATTTTTAGATAGAAGCTTGTATTTTTTGCATATTTATTGCATATTTATTTTATATATATATATATATATTTTTTTTTCATAAGTCGTTGAGATATTTTATGTGATAATAAAAAATATTGATCTTGATTCATTGGATTTATTGGAAATCAATTATAGAGATATGATTAAATTAACAATATGATTATGAGATATGCATGAGATAACAAGATTAGGTTAACATAAGATTATCGATAATTATTAATAATATTAATGATAGTCAAAATAATTATTGATATTCAATATAATGATATATCATTAAGATATCAATAACTTATCGATAATTATAATAAATTATAAATAATTATAATTAATACGTTTATTTTTCCTTAGTCTTTTCTGTTAATATATATGTACATCAATGTGTTATTACAATTTTTGGTAATTTTGTTACATTTAATAATATAAAAATAAACGCATTAAAGCGAAAATAAGAAAGAATGAAAAACTTATTTATTTTTATATATATATAATATACTATATACAGATAATATATTTACATATATTTATTATAATTTTGTTTTATTTGCTTATTTCGAAAGTATCTCTCTTGTCAGGCTTTAAAAAAATTGAAGACTGTTTTATTTTAATTTTTAATTTCATTCTTAGATAATCTTATTTTTATTGTCTATACAATCTAATTTATATATTTAAAATGATGTAAAAGAATTTGCAATGTAAACCATACATTATAAAAATTGCTACTCAATTATTGTAATTTTATTCAAGGATTAGTTTATATTTTATTTTTGTATTTCGCAGATTTTTTGGCTTAAGCTATGAGAATTAAAATTGAAACTAATGCTCATTAAAATCGATAAGGAAGTAGATTTTTAACTAGTTCACTCGTTATATATATTTTGAATATTAAATGATTTACAAATTTATAGATATTTTATAGAAACAATAGTATTTCTATTAAAAATATCTATAAAAGATATTATTTCTCTTTATAAGAATCATTTTTAAATTTTAATCTAATATCACATGATCGCTTTTATTCGAAATATATTCAAAATTATAACAATTGCTATATCTTTATATCAAATGATTTTGTCCTAATTTTTTTCTACTTTTACTTACTACTTACTATTTGATATCGTAATATTTGATAAATCAAATATATATACTTAAAATATATATTAAATAATAAAATAATATATATTAAAAATATATATTAAAATAATGAAACATTCTAAATATGAAGCCAAAGTAGCTAGACATTATTGTTATTAATGCTCGAATATAATAACTACTATTAATAAAAATTATTGCTATAAAAATTATTAATAATATTTGCAATATTATAAGCAATATTCAATATGTTATTAATATTTGTATTCGTAATTTTCGATATATTGTATTGAAAGTTTTTTATTAATATTTCAAAAAGTAATAAATATCTAAAATTAAATTTTCATTCTTTTTCACCATTTTTCCAAATTTCAAATCGATCAGTTTGGATTTTTTCAATTTTCAAAAAACATCAAAATTGATGTTTCTGCGAATTAGTATTGTTTGCTTTCTAAATAATTATCTGTCGTTTATATGTACTGAATCTTAATGACATTTTAACGATATAGATTATCGAATTATCGATACACATTCTGATATAATTTATTAAATAAATTACAAAATAAAATTTTCCTAGATTTTTAAATATAAAGTTTTATATGAAAATAAAAATTAATTATTCGTATATATAAATATTCATATATTCATATATATATATATACAAATTATTATATCATTAAAAATATTGCATGTCATAATTTAAAAAAATTTTATATTTGATTTGAGAGATAGATTTCTCTTGTTTTGCATAACATATACTTGATGTGATGAAAAAAATTTTAATAAATTTCATAGCATAAGTTGTTTTCAAAATTATTTCGAAATTAATTTCGAAGTTCATATTAATTTATATATAAATTTTATAAAATCATTTTATTGAAAATGGAATTCTATACTTCATATTTATATTTATAAAATTTATATTAACTTTATATTTATAAAATATTTTGTCAATATTTTGTCTTATTTGTAATTTCATAATTATAGTTTTAATATTTATGTATGTAATGTATAATATATGTATATATGTAATAATTTTAATATGTAATGTAGTTATTAAAATATAATTTTAATTCTAACCATTATGTTACAATCTTATTCTTCAGAAAATCGGTAATGTTGGAAATGATACAAAAATGATAAAGGATTCTTAGAATCATAAAATTATAAAAGAAAAGTACATTCACATTTATCAAGTATGTTAATGTCTAAGGATTAATAATCTAAAAATTATTTTCATTCTTCTGTATAATATATTTTAATTCTTATTTATTTTTTCTTCCCATGCAAAGTATTAAATTATTTCAAAAACAAAAATTTCGGAAATAATTTTTAAAATATATGTATATTTTAAAAATATATATTAATAAAATATATATATTATTATAAAAATGTATATTTTTAAAATATTTTCAAAATAATTTAGAATTGGGAACATTGAAATTCAAATTCAGATTTGAATGTAAATATAAATTTATACAGCTGTAATTGATAATACAAAAGATGATTTTATAATTCTAACCTTTGTTGTTATAAATCAATTTAAAAAATTTTAGTATAGAAGTATAATATATAAGTATAAAAATATATATATAGTATATAAGTATACTTTTATAGTATAAAAATATAAATAGAATTAATTAATTTTGAATACGAATGAATTCGATAGAAGATTATTCTATATATGAAAATAGGTAAAAAATATAAAATAAAATTTTATTATTTATTCTTGTTTTTGAAAAAATCGAGATTGAATATAATATATGTACAGTCAAGAATCCATATAATAAGTGAATTTTCAAATTCGATTTTTAAATTAATTTTCAAACATATTTTTCATTTTTTGTTTATTTTTATTTTATATAAACTTTTTTTATATAATAAAGACTTTATAATAAAGATATATTTCTTTTATAATAAAGATTTGGAATAAAGATTATCAAATTTTTCATAAACTTTGAAAATAAGAATAAAATATTTTTCCTTTCTCTTAAAATATTTATAATAGATAAATATTTGAAATATTTAAAATCTCTTATATTTGAAATAATCTCAAATATTTGAAATAAATAAAAATTGAAAGGAAGATTTTCATAAAGTAATATGTGAATCTTGATCGATTATTTTTTAATAAATATTATTTAATAAATATGTTACAAAATATAATGTTACAAAATTTTCATTTATATATTCTTCTAAATAGAATAGAATATATTTAGGCTGAAGAAAAATGATGTAAACAAATTTCCTTTTATACTTGTGCTAATCCGAGTATTAACTTTCCAGTTCTGTACTTACAGGCGGCTTACCAATTCATGGACTCCCCCACTCTTCTCGGTAACTCGGATTTGATCTCTTTTCTTAAAGCGTTCAACGGCAGTCAGGTGTTCGACAGTGTGACGATCGGACGTTGGGAAGATTTTATTTCCGTGGAAATGTGTTTTAATATATTGTTAATATTTTTTGATTCTTTAAAAATTTGATAACCATCAATAATTTTGTTCATTTTAAACTATCATTATTATCGTCATCGATTATGTTTCACGAATTATTGATATATATGTTTTAATGCAATTCGCGCGCAAAAAGTTACTCGAGAGAAAAGGTTAGATTCGTGAAGCAAAGAGAAAAGTGTTCGGTGAAGAAATTCGAGAAAGTTGTACTTACAAAGAGAAATATTCGAAAAATAAGAAGCAAAGAAAAATTAATTGTGACTCTAGTGAATCTTATGATCTCTATTGTTGATTAGATATTAGATATTTTTTAATATAATTTTATTCATTATTTTTGTGTTCATAACATTGATATAATATAAACATACCAAAATAATTGATCATTTTTGATTTTTATAACAAATAATAAAACTTTAGTGTATCTAAAATAGAGAATTCAATTGTTTACGTTCGAGAATTAATCATCTTTAGTGAGGTAAGTGAATTGAAAATTCAACTTGTTTTTGGAATATCAATAAAATTGTTTTTTTTATAAATAATATGTGCAGAATGAATAGCAAAAATTTTACAATAATTTTTTTTCTTCAAGTTTTTTATTCTTTCGATTCTTATTATAATTTTAATTCTTCTCAATGTTTCAATAAAATACTTAACTTTCATGAAAAATATGAAATAATTAAAAAGTGAAATAATTATGTGACTATTATGGGAACGTTAATTAAATATATTATGCATATCATTATCATCATTTTAAATTACATTATACATTATGTACATATTATCAAAAAATAATTATCATAAAAATAAATATCATTAAATAATTTATTTTCGAGAATCATTTTGTTTGAATCAAGAAGAATAGAATTTTCCAAAGAATAAGTATTTAATATTAGATATTGATAATTTGAACTGGTACATGTTCATTTTTCTTTTAATTTAAGTTATTATGAATATCATAAGTTCATATCATAGATATAAAATACTTAAGAATAAAATAATTCTGATCTCAAAATTCGATTATAAAATATTAATCTAATAATAATGAATACTTATTTTCACATTTTCATAAAATTATTTTAATGGAATGATTTCTGGAATGTATCAAACTTTCACGAATTCAGCATGAATCTTAATAATTCTGTGATTTTAATTATTTTTCATAAGATATAAATTAATTATAATTAATTTATCTTCGAATATTGTGATTTTATCTTTAAAAAAAAGTGAGATGAAGTGCAATCAATTCAAAATAAATGATATAATTAGAACTGATAAGTAGCATTTGATTTAAAATGAAAAAGAAAAGAAAAAGAAAAATAAAAAAGACAAAAAAGGAATTTATTAATTAAAACGGTATTATTTTATTGATTATTATAATTCTAAAAATGAAATTTATTTAATTTTAAGAATTATGTCTTTTACATAAAAATAAATAAATTTTTATATAAATATCTAAAAATGATCTCAGGATTTTTTTTATTAATCTAAAAAATAATTTTACTAATCGATTAATCGTTTTAAAATATTCTTATGAAATAAAAAATATATAATACATTATTTGTAAATAATTTAAATCATTTGTAAAAATTTTTCTTATAATAAATCAATATGAAATTGTTATTATTGTAATTCATTTTGACGATTAACTTATAATAAAATAATATCTTTATAACGTTTATTATAATTTTGTTTTACAATTTTATGTTCCTTTAATAACATAATATTAAGTTTCATCAATAATGGAACCCGTAATCTTTGAAAGAATGCGCGGAAGTGTTACAAAAGAGAGAGGAAACAAGGAAGGAACCAGTTATTTAATTTCGCCATAATTACTAATTCATAATCATTAATTCATAATCAATAATTAATTTATAATCCTTAAAAAAAAATCATAAATTCCAATAAAGATGAAATTTGAATAATGAAAATAGAAAACGGGAGATTAGTTTATTATAGTATGTCCTAACAGATTGGAATATTTTTGAAATAATCTTACATGATATATATTATATAAGGAAAAGAGGAAGAGAACATTTTGTATATTAGTTAATTTACACTTAAGTCGCAATTCATAGTAATCTTTGTTAGAAAGCCGCAGTTTTGTCATCATTTTAACACCTTATATTAAAATAAACATTATTACATATTACATATATACATATATATTTTTAAAATATACATTATCAATTTTTATTTAAATCTTTCAATTAGTTCAATTTTCAATTAGATTAATAAATTTTATATGTCTTTTTTTTACAAGATATCAAATAGAAATCTATAGTTCATTATACTCGATATTTTTATTAATAAATAAATAATTTTTTTTTCGATTTTCTGATAATCTTTGTAAAATATCACTTTTTTAATATTTCATATTCTATGTTGTTCTCTTTATGAAGAATTCATGATAGCTTCAATAGAGCAGAAAAGAGAAAAATCAAAATAAAATATAGTGATATAATAATTTTTTTAAAAAATCGTAAAATTATAAACAATAATTGAATTAATTTTATTTTTCTAGTATTGCAATCTAAGAACAAAAATGATTTTTTTTTTTTTTGAGAAAAAAGATTTATAAAAGTAAGTAAAGTATAAAAATAAGATTTATAAAAAATATTATTCAACGAATTCGATTAATTAAAGATGATTAACTAATATAATTAACTAATAATTAATAAAATTAATTAACTAATTGAAATCAGGAAATAAGAAACGTATGCATTAAAATTAAAATTAAAAAAAAATTATTCAATTATCAAAATATTATTTATTTATAAAATAAAAATATATCAAAAATTATTTTTTAAATATATGACATTTCATTATTTTAATTTTATTTTGTTTTTTTTTAATAATAGCTTAAGCTTTTATTAATTAACGAAGGAAATAAAATTTATATCATAAAAGAAATTAAATTTTTTAATTAATTTCAATCTTTCAATATTATAATATAATAATCAATAATTTCTTATTAGCAAAAGAAAAAAAAATCTTTAAAAATATTAAAAGAAATAACGAAGAAAATAGTTGATTTATATATTTTATGATTGAGAAAGATAAGAGGAAAATATTATTGCAACTACCATGAAATATAAAGAGAAATTGATGATTTGATTAAAAAAAAAAAAAAATCGCGAGAAAGAGAAACCATGATTTTTTGCTTTTGCATATAGAATTGCTTTATCGAAATATTAAAAATAGAGATAATTATTAGTTTCAATATTAAATTGAACTTTCTTATAGTTAATATCTTCGATCGATTTTAATATCGAAATATTAAAAATAGAAATAATTATTAATTTCAATATTAAATTGAACTTTTTTATAGTTAATATCTTATAGTTAAAATTATATATTTTTTTTAAAGTTATTTTATTCAGAATTATTATTAAAAATTAAAGAAAACTAAAAGCAAAAGTAGAGTTTCTTTATTAATTTTTAATTTTTTAATATTATAAATTAATAAATTAAATTAATATTCATAATCAATATTTATAAATAATAATTTTTTTTCTTTTTAATATAATTTAATATAATATAACAGATTGATAAAATGACTCTAAATTTTATACGTTTTGTGAAATTTTATTTTTTGAAAAAATTTTTTTTAGATTCTTATTCAATTTTATTTAACTTATTAAAATTAATGAGTTTCAGATAATAATAGCAGTATATTTTTATTAAAAATTTTATTATATACAAAAATAATGATTATTTTATTATATACTGCAATATAATAATTAATCACAATTATTTTTATTTTATTGGTTAATTATTAATTGTATAAAATATTGTAATTAACAATTAATCTAGGTTCAATCTATTTTTGGAACTATGCTTATATATATCATATATAAAATATATGAAGATTTATGTTTATCATTGAATTTACAAGATTCTAAAATTTTGTTCGTTTGAGATAGAATGCAGATCTTGGTCATCTTATAAAAATTGTCCCATTGACCATTATTTTAATACGTTATTTATTATTTATTATACTTATTTATTTATTATAATATTATAAATTTAAATACTTTACTTTATTATAAACTTAAATATTATTTATTAAATATTTTACTTTATTATAAACTTGAATATTATTTATTATTTATTATATTATTTATTTATTATTTATTATTTTGGTGATTCTATCCCTTCCAACAGTTCCAAGTAGTCGTTATAGAAAGAAAAGATTATCCCTAATAACCATCATTGTCCCAAGTCCAAATTTACCGTTGTCGTACGTCATTTATTGCATTGTTCTAGTGATGTAGGTACTTATTCTGTCATCGCCTCCAAAAATGTTATATATTCTGCTGAATTATCTAGAATCTGTTCAATTTGCTTTTCGTTACAGGTCATTTTACAAGTCAGGTTTAAAAGCATAAAGTAAATCATTGACCAGGAAGTGATCAAGAAATTAGATCATTAGAGTCGAATAATAAGAAATTAATGATTAGAGGGAAGGAATTAATGATTGCTTCTCTTTGTATTAAGACAGTATATAGTTTCTTATATATTAATATCACGTCCTCGATACGTTCCCGAACTCGCTTCAAATATAATTTTAACGCTTTAAACCCTGTAAGTGGAGTGCACGAAGAAAGATCATATGTATTTCTTTGTGCGTGAAATTTGTACTGTCTTTGAATTTTTTCATTTTTTATACGAAATATTAGTTCTTTTTTTTTTTCAATAATTTGAAGAATTTGTAAGAATTAGTTCTGCTAAATTAAGTTCCGTTACTTAGGTTACTAGTGTGGCATTGTTTTCCTGCAATAAATTAAAAATTTCAAGATCAAAGTATGTTCGTAATTATTCCTCACGTAGTTATTCCTCAGGTAGTTTATACCGCAGGTAGCAGAGGATTACAAAAGCAACGGTCTATTGTTTGTGTCCCTATTTAGGCCTTATTCGAAAGCTCTTCTTAAAGAAATCTTTAAGTAAAATTTATGGAGAAAATTACCACTTGAAATCCGTGTAATTTAAGTTCTAAATATATTCATCTTGAAAAATCTATATATGCACGCAAATAAATATTGAGTGCAATACATTGTAATTTAATATTTCATTGTATCATATGCATAGAGATAAAGTACGATAATCCATAAAATATCCATAAAATTTAATAATAATTTCATTTTATTATCAATATTGAAAGTTGTGATTATATTATCTTTCCTCAGAAGATTTTCTTGTTCGTTGTATAAAATTCTGCAATCACAATGTTGCCATTGATCTAATTTTCATAGACTTCGAGGAATCACATCATTTGGATTTCGATAGAAAAAGTTATGATTTCTTTTATTTTTTATTCATTGTTTTTTCTATGCAATGATAATTTTCCATTGTGATAGTAATACTCTTTTGTTTAAATCCTTTGAGTTATTTATTGATTTATTAAGTAAAATTTTTTTGATAAAACATTCATGTTTGTTACATGTTAGTATTTTACAAAATGTTTCTTAGTTGAGT